ATATATTTATTTATATATCTCATCATGTAAAATATTTCGGCTGATGGTTTTTGTGCTATCTTTGGCATTCAAATTTGCATAAATAGCCCCAGACTCTAAATAGCTCTCCCCATTGGGAAGTCCTTGCCCTTGGCCAATTCTGCGTTACATATGATTGCTATTAGCAAGCTAATTGGCACCCTAGGAAACGAGTAATAGCCTTTAAAAAGAAGCAGGCTGATTCCTCTTTTATAGGAGTAAATTTTATTTCCATTCATCCCTCAGACTCTTGGTAGACTCAGCCAACAGCAGCTTCAGGCACTTGGCACCTGAAGGGTGGGGTTTACTCTACTTGAGTCACTGTCTCCTCCCTCCCTTGGCAAGTATTGGCATAGACGCGTCTCCTAACAAGCCTAAGAACTCACTCACTGCCCTCCAGTCGGTGCCCACTCCTAGCAACCCTTAGGGAAGGGGAGAACTGGCCTGGGGGGTTTCCAAGAGGCAGTTGTTCACAGGTATAGAAAACCTTGCCTGTCCCCTGTGGAGCAGCTTTGGACATCAAATTGCGTACCCGGAGGTTCGCAGCCCAATGTGTGACCACTCCACCACCAGTGCTCTGAACCCTTGGCAGTTGCAGTGTTAATACTTGATGCTGGATCACAGAGAGCTTCAGGGACCTGCCCAAGGGCACCAGAAAGAGATGGGCCCTTGTCCTCCTGGAGTGCCCACGGGGAGCATATATCACGCTCGGGGATTTTTAAAAGAATTTCCTTAGTCATCAACCCTAGGAAGACAGTTGTGCTTTCATGTGCAGCAGCATCCATCCAATCCAGGTGGACTTTGTGTGCAGCCATGGCCTCGGCACCCAGGTGGATCCGACACGCTTCTTGCTCTCTGGGGACTCGGCAGTCCAGTAGAGGGAGAAAGGCGTCAACACCTATGTTCTGAGAGGCATTGTAGGAATGTAGGCCAGGTGTTTAGTGAGGGCACAAAGGGAAGAGGCCCAGGATTCTTGGACAATAGGGGTTGTTGTGGAAAGATTTCACAGAGGAGGAGGTACAAGCATTGCAGGCATAGGGGACAGCACAGGCCAAGGCCCAGAGGGGTGGCCAACCATGGTGTGTGCTTGAGGAGCCACGAGGCTCTTCTTGGCCAGTGCAGTGGCCTCCACACCCCCCCCATGTGATAGAATGTACAGTGTATGTTAATACAGACATGCAACACCCTGGGGTCATCTGTCTGAGCCCCATAACCTCACTGCCTGACTGCTAAGGGCATCCTAGCCTTGGTACAGTTGTTGTCCACCGAAGGCCAGAGCACAGGGTGTCTGTGACTGAAGTGGGAGAACCAGGGAAGGGTCTCATGATGAAACTTGATAGAACTTTCCATGCCACCAAAGGAGCCCTGGTGGCGTCGTGGGCTACAATTTGAGCTGCTAAGTGCAAGCAAGAACAGTAGTTCAAGTCCATCAGCTGCTCCGAGGGAGAGACGTTGTCTGCTCTGGTGACCACGTACAGCTTTGAAGCCCCCTGGGTGGCAGTTCTACTCTTTCCCTTAGAGTTTCTGTGAGTCGGAATGGGCTCGGTGGCAGTGGGTCCTGTTGTGGTTTCATGCCATCCAGAGGCGGTGGTGGTGTAGTGGGCAGCCAACAGAGCAGTTCAAACCCATCAGCTGCTCCATGGGACAAGACGAGGCTATCTGCTCGCAGGAAGATCAACAGCCTCAGCAAATGTAGGGAGCGTTTCTACGCTGTCCTGTGGGGCCACGGTGCGTCAGAATGAACGTGACAAGATGGCAGTGGGCTTTGCTTTGTTTTGTTTGGTGCTATCCCAGTCTTATGAATCTGGGTTTTATCTGACAGACAGGCTGGCGCTGATGAGGCCTTTCAGCCTTGGGCTGGTATGGTCGTGTAGCTGTTGGGCTGCGTAAAGGAGCAGTGGGGGGTGGACAAGATATCCTTCCCATCTAAGTGGTCAAGATGAAGGTCTATTGTAAGCCAGCTGAAGAGAGTGTGACAGATATGAAAGGAGGAGGGCTTGGTCGTCAAGTAGACAGGAGGCATGGGCCCTGGACTTGGGGTTGGGTGGACTGGCAGGGCCACTCACCAATTCCTAAGCCAGAGGGGAGGGCCAGGTCTGGTTTGCCTGACTCTCAGGTCTTAGGCAGATAGAGGCTATCCATCTGAAAACGGATCCCACCCTCTGGTTCTTTGGGGCTGGCATTGAGAATTGAGGCCTGGGAAGGAGGCATGGATGTGTGAGTCACTGGTATATAGGTAGTGATTGAAACCACTGGGCAATTGATCATTGCAGATGAAAGGAAGGCTATGGTGAGGGGAAGGTCAGGACCTTGGAAAGATGTCCCAAGACATGAAACAGAGAAAGGCAGCCAGAGAAGAAAAGGAGAGCGCTGTCCAGGCTGTCAGGAAGGGAGAAAAGATCAGGAACTGAGAAGCCAGCAGGGCCAGATGCCAGGGAGCTTTCAGCGAGATGACTGACCGAGTCCCTGGAAATGGACGTTTAGGCAAGGTGGTTTGAGTACAGTGGATTGGATAGTGGATTAGAAGAGTGAAATATATTGGAAATATATTGATGGCAGACTTTTTTTTTGGCTTATAACTGGAGGGGATGGGGTAGTCAAGAGGGTGACAGAGAGCCAAGGGAAGGTGTGTTTTTATGTGGGAGAAACTCAAGTTCATAGGCCACCAGGAAGGCCCTGGTCTAAGAGAAGGATGAGCTAGGGGCACCTCCTTCCCAGGAGTGCATGGAAGGTGAGGTTTAGGATGGATGAAGGGACAGCTCTTCATCAGATTGAAGGAAAGAAAAGTGAGGGCCAGGAGGGGATGATCCTCCCCCTCCTCACCCCCTTAGCCCGAGCCCCCATAGGGCAGTATTCTCAGGGAAGTAGCAAGTGGCCAGGTTATCTGCTGAGGAGTAGGTGAAGAGAGGGCTAGGACAAGAGTAGGGAATGGAGAGTAGAGAAAAGCCAGCCAAAGACATGTTAATATCAGGAGTGCTGCTCATGTGAGCACAAGGAAGTGTGCTGTGTGGTTTGTGTGAGCTCTCCCAGCTGAGGGGTGAGGCAGGCAGAGAAGAAGGTAGGCTTCCATCCCAAGCTGATAAACGTTAATGTCCGAAGTGTGCATGGAGGGTGCACTTGAAAGATAGGCACTAAGGGTGTCCAGGATGGTACGCGTAGACGATGGGCAGGGGAGAAGAAAGGGGACCAGTGAGATGGACGATACACTGGTGGGGATGGCGTGGAAGAGACAGGGTAACTGTGACCAGGGCTTGATGCAGTTGGAGTTGGATCTTCTAGAGAAGATATGACCAGGCCCAGGGGTGGCCACCGAAGGGATTACGGAAGCAAGTCCAGGGGCACGAGTCAGGAGTGCTGGGTGGCCTAGCCACATGGGGGCCCCTCCTGGACTGACAGCTGGGACCGAGAGCCAACAGTCATAGCCCGTGATGGGCGAAGGGGTGTGTGAAAGGACTGGACAGGCAGCATCAAGGAAAAGGAAGGCAGACAGCTCGGATCGTTTGTTCCAGTTTCTTCTCTGGTGTGGATGTGGGGAGGGATCCGGCATCCCAGCAGCCTGAGCAGGGGTGTGGCAGGGCAGGCGGCTCAGATGTGGTGTTCTGCTCTGTATGTCCACAAGGAACTAAACAAGGGCTCTGCTACCGTAGTTGGATCTTGACCGTTCCCCCTGTAAGATGAGCACTGTGAAACCCTGTCGTTTAAACCTTTCTTCTCTCTCCTGCACATTAGGTGTGCTTATCGTTTAACCCCCAAAGCACCTTGGTGGCTACGGGCAGCATGGACACGACAGCCAAGCTCTGGGACATTCAGACCGGAGAGGAAGTGTTCACGCTGAGGGTAGGCCGCTCGGGTGGGCCATCTCCGGGGCTTTATCCATCCACTGGCTGCTATTTAGGAGAACCCTGCTCTTGGTGTTACTTTTGTGCGTACAAAAATGAACTCGGAGCGAGGAGCTCCCTGGAAGCCCTTGGTTTTCTGATCGCAACACCAAGTCCCAGCTGGTTTGGCGGATTGCCAGGAGACCGGGCCCTATGTCCTGGGAAGTGGACAGGCCCTTCGTTTAGACTCACTTGAGTTGGTCAAACACACACGATAACGTGGCGCCCTCACCATCTCCCTGACTCTTGTTGGAAGGGGACGAACTCGTGAACCATGTCAGTCGATTCATTTAAGGAGTGACAGTTAAGAGTTTTATCGCTTCTGCAAGTGTCACATGAAATATTTAGTAGGAAATGCCAAGGTGGCGGGAGGCAGTAGGTGAGAAGGTCAAAGGGCACGGTCCCACAGGTCAAGTGCAGCTCGGGAAGCTATATAGAGCCGGGACTCACTATCACCATGCTCCCTGCCACTCGCCTTGCCATCCCACCCCCACCCAAATTCCCAAAGCAGAAGTGTGTGCCAACCCTTGGATGGGTGTTCTATAGCCTTCCTCTCCTTCCAAAGTTATCAGCGGATTCAGAAAACTAGAGCCCTTGTCCCAGAATACCCTTTCAAAGAAAGTCCAATCATAGGCTAAGCGGCGAGAAACAGCACCAGGTTTAAATGAAGTTCACCCCACCCCTGCAAAGAGAATACTAGGCATTATTTTTCTTCAATCCTATTGCTGAGCATTAAGAATAGAAGGACACTCTTATTTCATTGTGGTTCCCATGTTGGGCTGCAATTTGCAAGGTCAGCAGTTCAAAACCACCAGCCTCTCTATGGGGGAAAGATGGGATGTTTTTTACTCACATAAAAAGTCTCACTCAGTGGGGTTTCCCCATTGAATCCTTCTGGGGCGGCCAATGAAGGGTGTTGTGTGTTTCAAATGGACAGTCTAAAGATGTAATACCTTAACATTTGATCTCCCTTTTGACCCATTTTTAAGTTGTGTCAGTTTTTAAATATTTTATGCTTTCTTTTTGATTGGTTTTTTTTCCTGTTTTGTTTACAGTCCTTGCTGTTGAGTTTATTTGCATTGTTCTTTTGTTTGCTTCTTGTTTGCATTTTCTGTCATTTTCTCTATATGAAGCCCAGGATAGATAGATATATAGAGACAATAGTAACTGGATTAATAATTGCCTAGAGACATAGCAGGGAAGGTGGGGGGCAGGGGAATGGGGAGCTAACGATAAGGAGTAAAAGAAGAAAATGTTCTGAAATTGATTGCGGTGATGAGTGCATACATCTTAATGTGATTGACAAGTTAAAGTGTATGATGTGTGAAGTTTAGCGCAGTAAAAATATAATTGAAAAATAAAAACAGTTACAGTCTCAGAAACTCACAGGGGCTAGTTCTACCCTGTCTTATAAGGTCACTATGAGACGACTCGATGGTAGTGAGTTTGCGTTGTGTGTGTGTGTGTGTCTGTAGGTGTGCATTTTATTATCCCTTTCTTCCAGTAAATGTAAAGGAACAAAGCCCCATGAACACCTGAAGCTTCAAACTAACATCATTCTGCTGACTGACCTTGTCTAAGAGCATTTGAAGGCAGTGTCCTGTACTCTGTGCCCACCGTCACCAGCTTAGAACTAGTTCAATCACATGTAATTGTGGTCATTTGGAGCCAATCAGAAAACAACTGTATCATGAGGTTAATTTACTAAGATCCATAGGGAAAACGGGGATTTAGACACCCCCCCCCCCCCAGGGTTCCTGTCACCAGGGCATCTGCAGTAGCAAGGGGCTTCCTCCCACTGTCAGCCACTGGCTGACCCATCAGTGCTAGACTCTTAACTCGGTGGAAGGCAGGTCCACGGCTCGTCCTTCATTTACCTATTTCACAGACAATGTCGACCTTTACAAATTCCCTCCACCCTTACAAATTAACTCCACCCTTTTTTTTTTAAAGTTAACCATTTTACTTCCTAAACAATTTTTCTTTGCCTCAGGCACTGCCATCAAGTCAACGCTGACTCATAGCGACCCCCTGTGGGTTTCCGAGATGGTAACTGTCTACAGGAGTAGAAGGCTCAGTCTTTTTCTGCTGCTGGTGGTTTCGAACTGCCCACCATAGGGATCACAGCCCAGTGCTTAACCACAATGGCACCAGGACTCCATGTTTTTGGCCTAGCATCCACGATCAGGAACCCTGGTGGCGCAGTGGTTAAGCACTCAGGTGCTAACTGAAAGGGCAGCAGAGAGACCTGCTTCTGGACAAATCCTCCGTCTGTGACTCAAGATGATGGGAGAGAAAGAGGAGGCTGCCGGCTCCCATAGGACTTACAGTCTCAGAAACCCCAGAACACCGCGAGTCGGAATTGACTGTGGTTTGGGTTTGGCTTTTAGGGTCAAAAGGAGTTGGTATGGACCTGATAGCCACTTTTGTTGTAAAGTTGTCAATGTTCTGTATCTATTTTGGCTATTAAACCAAAATAGCGAGTCATATGGTCATATGTTTGTTATCTGGTTCCTGAAGATAGTCTCCCAGTTGGTAGCTTGTCTTTGGCCCATTTTTTGGGTAGTCTTTCGATGAGCAGAAGTTTTGAATTTTTATGAAGTCCCATTTATTTATTTTTATTCATATGAGTTTCAATGGTGGATTTTTGAAAACACCCCCCAGCCCTCTGGGTGTACTGGAATGCCCCATCTGTCCATCAGCAGCAGAGCACCTCAGCCACTCTGAACACCCATAGCCCTCATGAGCCCTCACTTAACAGCCATGGACTTGATAGCCCTCACTGCTATCATGTCTACGCTGACTCATAGCGTCGACCTTGGAAGACAGGGTAAAACTGCCCCTATGGGTTTCCAAGACTGTACCTCTTTATTGGAGTAGAAAGAAGGCCTGTGTTTCTCCGGAGGATCAGGTGGTGCTTTCAAAGTACTGACCTTGCAGTTAGCAGCCCAATGCATACCCCCATGTGCATTGGGATCTAGCCTCAGGCAACTATTAATCTACTTCCTGGCTCCATAGCATTGCCTTTTTCTTTTTGGTCATTTCCTTTTAGACTAAGCTGTTATACACACGCAGGTGGGCACTGGTTTATCTATGGATGTGCACAACGGTACCTGCTCTCTTTCTAGGGACACTCGGCGGAAATCATCTCCTTGTCCTTCAACACGGCCGGAAGCAGGGTCATCACCGGCTCCTTTGATCACACCGTTTCCGTGTGGGATGCTGAGACTGGGAGGTAAGCACACTCTTCAGCCTGGACCAGGCCATGGAGAAGAAACGTGGTTATTTACTAGTTGAATCTGGTATCACCTACGTCTCAGGTGCTCCAGATTCTGTGCCCTATGGGGTCACTGTGAGTCAGAATCAATTAGATGGCAGCAAGTTTTTTTTGGGTGGGGTGGGGGTGGGGAGTTAGGTTCTACAGAAGTAGGAAAGCTTAAAAACAGACATCAAACATTCATTATTTTTCTTATATCATGCCTTCATTAAGGGATATTTCTCGTTTTCTTCTTCTTACCCTTTTATTGGGATTTGAGTGGATGCTTACCGAATAAATTGGGTTTCCGTTCCACAGCGACAGACATTTTGGTTGTTGGCATGGGCTACAATCCCCACAATGTCACCCTCGCCCTCCCCACATCCTCCCTGTGCTGAACGTGTTCGCTCTTTCCTCTCCTCCTTCTGCCCCTTCCAATCTCCCACCTTGCTCCTGAAGCGAATCAAAGGCTGCCCCTTCCCATCTCCTGGGGTGGATGGCTCTAAGGGGTGACCCGCCAAGCCTTGTCAGTGAGCTGGTTCCAGGCGGGAAAGGTGCATAAGGGTCATGGTTTCAACTGCCTCACTCAGTTTCATAGTTCAGAGCATCTCACTGCTCAGAGGTTATTTCTGATCCACAATCACACATGTTTCTGAGGACTGCTGTACAAGTTGGCCTGTTACCCCCCTGGCCGTCAGTTTTCAAGTACCTGCAGCTCCTCCAGAAAAAGGCGGTGGGTGGGGGCTCTGTTCCCATAAAGAAGGGCAGTCTCAGAAACCGCAGGGGCAATTCTAGCCTGTCCTATAGGGTCACTGTGAATTGGCATTGACTGAATGCCAGTGGGGGGAGGAAGAATGTTTGGCAATACAAAAGGTAACTGCCAGAGCCACAGAAAAGGAGAGTACCAGAAACAACATGCTTTGATGGTTTGTTCTGCGCACGATATAGTCAGTTCTTAGTGGCCTGTCACTGTGGAAGGCATATGGATATCACAAATACATAAAACTCATAGCTAATTTCCCAGATTTAATTTAATCACAGGGCTTCAGTTTCCTTTGTACCGCTTTTTAGTTCTAGTTGCTAAGAAGTTAACCAAATGAGTCTATTTGTGTGACAAAACTCCATCCAGCATTCTGATGGAAGGGCTCTTGATCAGGGCTAATAACCAAAATGTAGGCAATAGGAAAGGGGAGAGAAGCCAGGGCCATTCAGATGTTTGATGGGCACTCATTGGGTGTAAGAATCCTTCCAGAATTTCATCCCACCTGGGTTATTTGCTTTTTGAAGTGTGAGGTGTTCCATGTGATAGCCTTCGATGGTTTGAAATTCTGCGTGTTTCTGCCCTCTCACAAAGTGGCTCCTGAGAGCGGGGTTGGGATGAGTAGCCGAGTGGGCTCTTGAGCTGTTCTCGTCAGCTCTATCGTCAAGGACGTCATCTTAGCTACCTGCTACTATCACACGGGGAAGCCAGAAGTCTAAATTCAGAGTCTGACTCCAGGGGAAGGCTTGGTCTCTGCCAGCTCTGGGGACAAGTCCTTGTCTCCTTTCAGCACATGCAGACCCAACATTCCTTGAGGATTTCCATATGCCCTGGTATCAATCTTCTTCTGGGTCTAGGAGTGTCTCAGTGCAGTGGCCCAGGGCCCAAGAGTACCCCACTCCTGGCTCTTCTTTTCTTGGTGGTAGGTGGTTCCTCCAATCGCTGTTCCTCTTCTCTCCTATCTTGTGTCACAGAGAAGATGGTGCAGTCTCACCCCCACAACCATCCCCCACTTACACCAGCTCATGGTTGCAACGCATGGCAGGTTGTCAAATTTCCCTTAATCCGTTTGCAGCAGATTGGCTTACCTCATCAGCTCTCATGGCATCAGGGACGATCATTACATAATGTTACCTGAACCAGTGGATCATGGTTCAGCCAAATTGGCACATAAGTATATTAGGGGGGCGGGGCTTCAATCTAATACAGGACAGATACTTTTTTGTATAAGCCAAAATTTGGCTTACCTTCCATCGATGGACTTGATCTCATGATTTGGGTGCCTGTCAAGGAGCCCTGGTGGGACAGTGGTTGCATGTTGGGCTGCAATCTGCATGGTCAGCAGCTCAAAACCACCAGCAGCTCCTCAGGAAAAACACTGGGCTTTCTACTCCCGTAAAGAATGACAGTCTCAGAAACCCACAGAGGGTTGCTATGAGTCAGCAATGACTTGATGTTTCTTACACCAAAGAGATGTCTTCCGGCTGCCTTGTGTTTTCTCGTTTTGCAGGAAGGTGTATAATCTAATCGGTCACTGTGCGGAGATCAGCAGCGCTCTGTTCAACTGGGACTGCTCTCTAATATTGACCGGTTCCATGGACAAAACCTGCATGGTGAGCTGCAGACCTGCCGTCACGTTCTGACCCTCCTATCTGTCCCCCTTCCTGCATCAGCGCGCTCATTGTAATAGTCACACATTTTTAAAGGTGCTGGAACATGCACACGAGGAGTCCTGGTGGGCTAGTGGTTACCCATGGGGCTGCTAACCCACTTCTGAGATGCCTGAGAATTCCTTCCCGGAGAAGCTGGCATCACCCGTCCCAAAGCTCCACGGGATGTTCTCTCCCAGCCCCTCTCATCTCACACCGACGACTGGCTTCTACTTTTCCTCCCTCTATCCAGCTACACAAAGGAGCCCTGGTCGTGTCTTGGTTACAAGATGGGCTGCTGGCCACATGGTCAGTAGTTCTAAACTACCAGCTGCTCCTTGGGGATAAGATGGGGCTTGCTACTTCCATTAAGAGTTACATCTCAGAATCCCACAGGGACAGTTCTACCCCATCCTGTAGGGTGTCTATGAGTCAGCGTCACATCAACCCAATGGCAGTGAGTTTTGGTTTGGGAACATGAACACACTCACTTAGCAATCCTGGTTGGTCATTGTCTTCATTTCCAGTTTCTGACTTCCCAGATGGGCAGAAATGGAGGAAATAGCAACGTCGTTTTCATGGACTCCAATTACTAAAAGGCCTTATTGCAAAAGGCATCTTCTTCTGCTGCTGTCTAAGCGTCTTTCTGCTCATTGATGAACTCTGATTTTTGAGAACCTCAAAGACTCCTAACACACGGTCTCTTTGCCTCTAAGTTTCTGCACGCCTATCAAAAGGGTCTCATGAGAGCAGAGATGGTGTCCTTTGCAAATTCAAGGCCTATGGCAGCCTGGCACTGAGCACGTCTACCCATGCCATTCTCCCAATAGCATGTGCCGACTTCATGTCTCTGTGTGGCATTTTGGTGGCTCTCACCCCATCTCTAGCTTGTCCATAAGGCTGCTGCACACTTAATCGACTATAGTCTGGGGTAAACGTGACTTGCCTGTGCACCAGGACACTGAAACATTCATGGGGCTCGCTTTAGTGCAGTGGTCTGCAACTGAACGCACACTGTCTCCAGGGTCTGTCTGTGTTTGATTATACGGCCAATGTTTCGTACCTCCCCTGGAATTGTGGTTGAAGGCCCTTATCATAGTGGCCTTTGTATAAAAATAGGACTTCTCCACCCCAATCCGTAAAGCATGCCCTTTGAGGTTGTTTTTTTGTTTTTGTTTTTAAGTGAAATGGCCGATTTGCATAGACCCATTCAACCATCTGCCTCACTTGTGTGTCTGACAGAAATGTATCTTGCTAGTTGGTTAGCTGTGGCCTGTGGCCATGAGCTGAGGCAAAAACCAAACACACCAAAGCCATGCGTGTGATTTGGGCCAAGTTAGTCAGCCAGTCATAAAAAGGCCTTCTCCTCCTCTTTGCTCCCAGGCTGGACATCAGCATCTTTTCATGTTTTACTTTGCAGCTGTGGGACGCTGAAAATGGAAAGTGTTTGGCAACCTTAACAGGCCACGATGACGAAATACTAGATAGCTGTTTCGATTTCACTGGCAAGTTTATCGCAATGGCATCGGCTGATGGTAGGTTGTCAGTTCATACATGTACTTATGGCAGGGGGTGGGGTGGGATAAGTAACTGTGCTTTGCTTGAGAAACACGGATAATTCTATCCTATGGGTCACCTCCCTGATTGATAGCCAGCTAAGGCGGCAACTATTTCTGCCTCATTCCTGGAGGACCTTTTACACAGGTGTGAATCAAAGGCATTGCCTACAAAATTGTAGAAACCCCTAATTAAACAAAAATATCCCAAATTTCAAGGTATTGTTTCTACACCTATCCGCCAGCTATGTCTTTCTGGGCCCAAGGCATTGCTCACCATGCATCTTTATTTACTTATTGATTTTAATGTTTTCAGAACTTAGCATCTTTATTTACTTATTGATTTTAATGTTTTCAGAACTTAGCATCTTTATT